TCTACTCTTCCAGGATCAGGAAACAGTCCTGGACACATCTGAATACTTGGGTTGAACTGTTCTGGAACAGTGTTGTAAATACAACTTAACCACTGATTTCTAGTTGTGTCCTCTTTTGGAAGGCCAAACAAAGTAGTTTCACTTTCACAACAAAACACACAGCGTCTTCACAACATGGCGGCAGTGACGGCGGTGGCAGCAACAATAAAGTTACGCCTTCTTTCTTTGCGTGAACATTTGGGCGGTGTTATGCAAATCTTCCCACATAGTGACGTAGACATATGGGGGCGTGTTTAAATGAGGCATTTTAGGAAGACGTGGATCTCTTTGGCTTTGAGACTTTAGTCTTTGCAACTTTAGGGATCTTATCTATTCACGAACAGCTTGCAACACTCCAAAGAGAAAGGAAAACTTGAAATTGCATCATATGACCCCTTTAAATTGTAATAATTGTAATAAATAAATAGTTTTTACTTTATTTTTGATCAAATAAATGCAGCTTTGGTGAGCAGAAGAGATTTGTTTTTCCCCTATAGTAGTCATAATTTTCCACCCTTACAATTAAGTAAACCGTGAGATTAGAAAAATATATTTCTTATGTCTCAGTATTTGTTTAGAAATATCTGTTTCGTTTACTGTATACCATAAGCTGTTCAAACAAACAAAAAGATAAAATATTAACATTTCAGAATGGTAGCTTTGGGCAGAAGAAGAAAGCTTTGTGAAAACGGTTCAATGAAATCTCAAAGGAAGCGGCCCAGTGTCGGTGTCAATTGCTCTTACACCGGGTGGTGTAGTTTCTTGACGTGTGAGATCGGCTGACCTTTGATCAACCTCTTTAGACAATGATCTCAGAGCTGGGATTCAGGAAAACACTATGACATCAGCACTGGTAACAATGAGCCTCAGGACACACACACACACACACACATCTAATCCGCTCATATAAATTTTAAATGGGAAAACAAAGAACAATCCAAGCTTGTCATAGTTACCAAGCACACATATTCATGCAATATGAACTTGTGTGTAGTTCACGGAAGGGATTTCTACCAAAAGGGCAAATGTCCAAAGAAGAGGCAGTTTATAGGATAGAAAAATTATGAACCTTTGAGGGAAAATTCTAGGTTCAGTTCAAGTCGACTGCAATTGTTGCATAATGTAGATTTAATAAAAAAATATATAAGAAGAAAAGTTTGATTCAGCTAGAATTAATGATTCTTTTGTGATTCATGAAATGAGTCATTCAGACCGCTTTTCAAACCAAGATAGTTTTTGAAAAAGAATCAACTAGAACGAGCACATTTTCTGCAACTCTAAAAAGTCTTTCAGACCACTTTCTGAACCTGTTAGACCTTTTCTTTGAAAATAATTAATTGGAATTAACAATTGTTTTGCTCTTCACAAAACAAGTCATTCAGAACATTTGCAAACCAATCTGACCAATTCTTTGAACAGAATTGACTAGAATGAACAATTCTTTTGCAATTGTTGTTTAGTTGTTAAGAGTGCTTTTCAAACTGATTTGACAAAAATGGGAGTAAACTGTGTCTGCATGAAATGGGAATTAATTTCTAAATGCGTGTTATTGCTCTTATTATGAACAATTTTTCTTTTTTAATTTTTTTGACCTCATAAGTTTTTGTTAAAATTGTCTTAACTTCCAATCTTTACATCCACCCCTTTCTTACAATCATCTGCAAGCTCCAGTCAACACTTAATGCACAGAACCATGTCTGGCCCTACATCTTTTATTTTCCAAAAGATGGCTTTTGTTTATTTTTCTGACTGGTTTTCCTCATCAGACATTAAAATATGCACATAAAAAGTTTGTTTGTTTGTTTTTTGCAGTTATAAGGTGACAGGGAGTATAGGGGGAAGAAATGTTATTCCCCATATATGCCCTATGTCACCTTGTAACTGCAAATAAACAAACAAAAAAGTAGGACAAGACATTATTTTCTGTGATAAAGAACGTCACTAAAAAAATTACCAGCAAATAATGACTTTAAATTTTGACTTTAGTGGACTTGAAATATAACAAAGCTGTATGGACTACTTCTGGGCTAAACAGTAGTTCTGAATGAAAAATCTAGTATTACATCCACCCACGATCTCTGTAACATCAATGTCCAATCTGACCTGGGTTGGGACACACTATTAAAATTAAATCGAAGGTCATTTTATTAGGCTTTTGTGACCACAAAATAACAAGGGGTTTCTCATTTTTTGTCGGCATTGCACGGAAAGTCGTGGCTGGCAGTGAGGTGTTTTTCCCAGGGTAAATGATGTGAATTGTTGAGATGGTTCATGCAGGAAGCGTGAGGGTGTTTCTCACTCAACAGCTGTGGAGGTCGGGAAGCATTTAACGGTGATGTCATGAGAGGTACGGGCTTCACAGCGCTTTGTTTCCTTTTATCTCACCTCGGCCTGCTGTGAGAAAAAGCTCACAGTTAATCTGTCAACCTCCAGAGACACATTAAACGCTGTGACACGATGGCTGAGTGTCTGTTATGTGTTTAGTCACAGGAAGACTGGTGCATTGAGGAACACACAACCAGCAGATCATTTACTTCTGGTTTGTGTGCTGAAACAGTTTCACAATAAACTCTTGTGAACCCTCGTGACTCATGTGTTTTTGGAGTCACAAAAACTTGAAACACATTTTGGAGTCACAAAAGATGAATTTCAAGGTGCAAACAAGTTACTACGGAGCTCCTAAAATATACCCAGATAGCAAATTGGTTGTGGGCCTTATCTGGTTGAATTTAGGCTGTTGTTATGGCCCACATACCACCACGGCCCACTCCCCTCGAATGGCCCTTAAGCGGCTTGCCTAAAGAATACCAGAACCATGCCTGAAGCAGACCAAAACTCACCCACAACTCCAGTGTCCCCAAAAACAGCCATAACTGGCCCACGACAGTGCCGGAAGCCCCAGATGTCAGCCGGACAAAAGCCAAACTGCCACCACCTTTACCCCAGAACTCAGCCACAACTTATATAGAAGCTCCAGAAGACAGCCATAACTGGACCAATATTATGCCAAAACTAAACCAGAAATTACCCTATATAATATTTATATATTGTGCAAGGTATAATAAAAGAACAAAACAACGCAAATGCAGTATAGTGTTTTATTGATGCAGAGGGGGAAAAAAATCTCAGCCAGGTAACAGTAAAAATAAAATAAATGGGAAAAAGATAAACCAATAACCCTAGAATAAGGCAACACAAAAGCAACAAATAAATAGTCACAATACAAGAAAAAAAAAACAAGAGAAACCAAATTAAACTTACAAACACATACGTGATAAAATACAGAAACCAACAAACAAAAGACAAATGAAATACAACTCAAATTTACAGATGTGCAAAATTTTTTTAAATATATACTTAAAAAAAAAACTATGTAAAAGATTCACTCTCTTAACAATAACTTGGTTGGTTTTCATTAACATCTTGTGTAGTCGCTCTTCTCTTTCTGCCACCCTCACCTTCACCAGCTAGATTAAACTTTTTCGACCTCCAGCTCGTTGTGTGTGTATATACAGGATTTCTTCTTACAGCCTCTACAATAGGAGCATGCAAATACAAAGTTAAAAACACATTTAAGACACCACCAGTCTAAGAACTATGACTTTCAACATTCATCCGTGATATGTGGGGTGGGGGGAGTTCCAGAAAGACTTACAATAAAAATGCACTTACCAATCACAATGTTTTTATGCTCCAAACTTTGGTTTGGTGTTTTCCCATTTACACCTCTCCAGTTCACCGCTTTAGCCAAGTCATTTTTGATTGCCTGCCTCATAATTCGCCAGACCATGTCCTTCACATCCACTCCACCCAGCAATCAAAGTTCAAGTACCTGAAATATTTTTAAGCATGCTGTCACTATTAAGCTAAAACACTAAGATTGATCACACACACCATTTAATTATAACAGTAATTACAACCAGACCAGAGTGATAACAGTATGCAACTATGCATAACGGAGACTGTTACCTTCCACTTTTTATCTCGTTTCCGGACAGGATTGAAGATCACTTGCAGGGAAGTTAATGACCTTAAGTCTTTAATTGGAAACCATTTTGGACTAAAATGGTTAGATTCTGTGATGCCATGAACGTTGTTTGATTTGAGACCTTGCACCATCCTTATAATGTTCCTCTGCTGCTCCATAAGAATTTTTTGTTTAGTTATTCTATCATGGAGAAGTTCTGAAACATTAAACAGGATTTAGAAGGTTTACCACATCACCCATGCTATGAAATGAGCCTTACACCAACAGTGAATATATATGTATATATATATATATATGTATAGAAAACAAAGAAAAATCTTACATCTTATGAATGAGTCACAGCTTGAGAGGATTTTCTCTGGGGTCTGGGTGTTTCATGATGCCACGGTGCCTGCAGTGGGTGGTTTTGCCTTTGTCCTAGAGGACTTGGTTAGAAGCTGAACAAATCCTTTTGGATCGTGGTTGTATTTGAGACGCTTGTGGCAAATCTTTTTAGGGGCCTCCTCATCAGTGTCTCATTCATCCAGTAGGCGCTTGTTTCATCTTTAGAGAAGGCAGATTCAAACATCTTATGGACTCTTTTAACAGCCCCTTTTCACATTACTTCACTCACTGTAAGACCACATGTTTTCCATTATGCACTGTAAATGGGGACTGAGAATAATTGTAGTACATTTAACTTAAAAACAAATGAAATCCAATGACAGAAAAGAGTTAAACACGAACAAAACAGCCAATCAAGTAACGCACTGTAGAAGAATGGGTGAAACCTACATGTTAGTTGAGATTCTAAAAGAAGAATTAACTTACCTTGATGTACTAAAGCTCCAAAAGACAAAACCAAGGTATAGCTTGATCACAAAAGTTCGAACAGCAGTTTGAATTCCCCACCAGACTGTTGGTAAGTGTGAGTGGCTGGCTGACTGTTACGCAACTTCCGGGTCCTCTGGTAGGCGGGTTGTGCGCTTCTTCTCGTCTCGTGGTGCGCTCTGGGAAAAGTAGTCCTTTTTGTAAAGCGGATTTAACGTCGTAGATGTAAACCAACTACTATTTCCTAGATGCATTGCAAACTACGTCATCGCATTAGCCCGTCCTCCACATTAGACCGAGCATGGCTGCGTTCCAGTTCACTTTTAGACACGCACTCACGAACTTCCCTAAGCACTTACCCTCGGGGGAATCCCCGTCCCCATTTTGAAGTGCGTTCCACTTCATCAAGTGGACTAGGGAAGTTTACATGGACATACTACGGTGGCCGAGAAGTGCAAAGCAGATCACAATTCTGAAACCAAAATAACAAATTACAAACGCAAATGCAAGTCTAAAAAACTAAATAACAATTCAGAAAGCATAACAACAATTCAGAAAACATTATAACAAGTCAGAAAACACAACGACAAATCCAAAAACAAATGAACAAGTCAGAAAACACAACAAATCAGACAAACCGGAAAAGGTAGGTATAGTTTGAGACAGCGCCATTGGTTTGGGATTACTCACCGCTGACTGGACGAGACATCTGTCAATCAACGTATACAGGGAAGAACCATAACAAAACCTGCCTTGAATTGTCCCTCATTCAGAAAGCAGTCTGGAGTAAAATGATTTAAGCAGCCAGACATAAACGAATTTAGTGAAAGTGAAGTGAAGTGTGGCCAAGTATGGTGAACCATTTGTGCTCTGCATTTAACCCATCCAAGTCCACACACACAGTACTGAACACACACCAAAAGCAGTGGGCAGCCATATTGCTGCGGCGGCCGGGGAGCAGTTGGGGATTCGGTGCCTTGCTCAAGTGTCTCACCTCAGTCGTGGTATTGAAGGTGGAAGAGAGCACTGGTTATTCACTCCCCCACCTACAATCCCTGCCAGACTTGAGACTCGAACCTGCAACCTTTGTGTTATAAGTCAGACTCTATAACCATTAGGCCTGTGACTTTGTAGGTTACTGTCGGCCACAGCAGGAGTGTGAGTTTGAGATTGCAGGGCGTTATTGAACAGACAGGCTCTAAATTAGCTGTGAACATTCCTGCCTCCTCCGCCAAGGGATGAGCGTAAAAACGGTTTCCGATGGAGAATTAAAAGAGAGGCCGAAACCAGGGCAAAGTGTATGATCATCGCAGGAAAACTAAAATATACAGGTGACGCCTTTAGAAAACTGCTGATTTCATTTATATTATATAAACTACAACCCATAGTAAAAATAGGCTATCTCAAGTTGTTTCTCCTAGACAGCAGTGAGATAAAATGAAGTCATTTCTAGCTGTTTAGATGAAGTCTACAGTTGTTTCCCCTGAGAAAAAGTAATCTCATGTGTCTCCCCTAGAGTTTCAGAAGAGGTCTACAATCAAAGCACTTAGGCTATTTTCAAATGATCTGAGCTGGTATCCACAATTAATTACTGGATGACAACTCATTTATATGTACTGCATATTTGATTAGATTAGAACAGGGGTAGGCAAATTCGGTCCTAGACAGCCACAGTCCTGCAGAGTTCAGCTCCAACCCTGAAAACAAAACTCACCTGCCTATAGCCTTAGTAATCCTGAAGACATTGATTAGCTTGTTCAGGTGTGTTTGATTAGGGTTGGAGCTGAACTCTGCAGGACTGCGGCTCTCTAGGACCGAATTTGCCTACCCCTGGATTAGAATATAAACTGATACAGATTTAATCTCAATCAGACTTAGTCTCAATCACACAGTATTTCAGATGTCAACTTGGTAAACTATAACTTAAGGCTTACCTCCAAAATCTTCTGTCTATATTAAACATTATTTGTGAACATGTGGTTATGTATTTGTCAATGAAACCAACCTGTGCATGTACACATTCTGACATGCGTGTTGAATGTAGGCAAACTGCAGCAGCTCAGATGGGTCTGGGCTACGGCTGCTCAGTCCTTGACTAAAGGAAATGTGGAGTCCAGGGAGGAGTCGGTTCCCACACCCAGAAGAAGGGCTTTCGGCTGATCTAACACAAACACTGCAGCCCTCAGGAAGGAAAGGGTTCCCAGACACCTCACAGACTGAGTGACATTGCAGGTTTGCATTCACACATGAGCACAAAGAAACATAGGCCTACACTCATTTACATTTTTGTGGAGTTTGTTGAGACAAAAATCACTATTGCTCATAATTATTATCCAGTAGCACAGGCTGGGCTTACGTGAAAAGTCTCTTCCAGTTGATTTTTTCTCCAATCTAGCATAACTAAAGCCGGGCTCACACTACAGGATTTTTGGCTGGATTTTGTGGTCGCGGACAGATTTCCACAGTCTGCAACAAAACCCGGATAGTGACCAAATCGGTGCTCGTTGTGGTCGCCGAAGCTCGTTAAGTATGAGCAGGTCAGCAACGTGATCCGAACCTGTCTCGAGCTATCACAGATGCTACGATATTTTCAAACCTGTTTGATATTATCGCCAAGCGATCTAGTTATGTGAGCGACACAATGACAAGGTGGAACTAATCTAGCCAATCACAGTGCAGATGGTATAAACATACTTATCATGCATCTTCAGGAACAGACACGAAAAGCCACAAATGAATCAAATCAACTAACTAGAAATAAATTTAACAAATGCATAGATTGTGTATATAATACCACGTTTGATTGCACTGTTTAATTACCTCCAACTCTTACTGCAGTACTGACAGTCCTTGTTGTCCACGTTCTTCCAAGCCATTGTTTCTGCCATATTCTCTTTTGTCATGGTTTCTTCTTTCTTTCGGATAAAATAACTGCACAGACCAATTGAAGGGCCAGTTGATCGTCCATGCTTGGAGATATGGCCTATAATCGCTATAATTTCTCGCGAGAATTTATGTGAGAAAACGTATTTTCGCTGATGATCGGGAATGCCTCTTCACTGAATGTTTTGTAGTGTGTGCACCTCATTAGCGTTGTGTTGTGTAGTATGTGCACAGCTATGACAAGACTACGACAGATGAGAACAAATCTTGTTGCGTAGTGTGAGCAACACAGTGATTCGGCTAGTCTTTCAATCCTGTAGTGTGAGCCCGGCTTAACTCTGCACATTACAGTCCAGTTTAGTTAATTTGTTGATTGGGTCATTCCTAGTATTCGGTGCCATTTTAGTCCCCATGACATAATGTGGTATATTTTGCGTAAAAATGGGTTAATACTTGTTTCTGAATGCTAATCTTACAAAGTTACTGCCCCTCTACAATCAAACACAATAAATATGTGCTTAAAAATTAATTAATTAAAAATAATTACTCTTATTTTAGTGCAAGTAGGCTAAAATGCCATGTCCCCAAGTAAGCTTGCATAACTTCAGCCACAAATATAAGTAATAAAAATCAAACAAATTCCAATTTTTTCAATATTGTTGTATATTCTTATTTATAATATTTCTCAACAAAATATATTTTTTGTTATTTATAAATTTTTAATATATTGTTTTTTAAATAAAAAAATGTTACTCTGATGAAAAGTTCCTCTGAACACGGCCCTTGAATGTTTCTCTAATAACACGATTCTCAGGAAGTATAACACTTTTTGGTGGCAAACTATCTACAAGAAGCAGAATAATTAACAAACTTTAATTCACTCTTTTTTCAGTGTTTTATAATGATTCACTGATATGGTAAAGCATAACATGTCCACTCTGTTATGCTTATTTCTAATGAAAACTAATAATTTTTTGTAATTTTGAAAATATGGTTAATAAGCAGGTTAAAAATCTTCCTCTGTGATCACTACGCACTAGCTTGTTGTTTATCACATGAGTAGCAATAGCTGACTTTAGCATAAAATATCCCTCCTGTTACGGTCCACCCTGTTACTGTTTTGCACTGTAACAGGGTGGACATATTGTAACATTTGATGTAAAAATTACATAAGTGTTTAAAGCATGTATTGGTACTTATAATTAATTTAGTATGCATTTAAAAGAAAGAGTTGCTTAAACAGTATGCATGTAATTGTCAGGAAATGGCGCTGTTGTCTGCTGAAGAAAAGCAGCAACGCTACAGGGCTCGTTGTGATGCACTGCCTGAAAGAAGGCAGATATACCCCAATAAAAAGAACGGGAGGTGGAGAAAGGACATAAAGGAAGGAAGAAAAAAAAGAGTGTTAGAACTCAGCTTTGTTGATTAGGTAGAAACTGTAATAAATGATCTTGACTTTGCCATTACAATGTTTGTGTGTCTCTGTGGTGTGAGTTCGTGTCTACGTGCTGTGTGTCTGTTCTGGTATTCCCTGCATTATGGGGTCCAAATGTCCCCACAGGTATAGTAATAACAGTAAACTTTCATCTTGTGGGGACATTTATTTGGTTCCCACGAGGAAAACAGCTTATACTCTAAGTCAGTGGTCACCAACCTTTTTAGGCCCAAGATCCCTGACCTCGGCCTTTATGAAAGACAAGATCTACCTATTGAAGAATTGATAGAAAAAGACATCCCAGATTGTACCTCAAATGTGAGGCCTTTTACTTAGTATTTTAATTAGTGATGCGCCGATCATAGCTGATTCAGAATTCAGATTTTCGTTCTTTCTTTTTTTTTGTTTTTTTAACTAGCAAATTGGATTCTGATACTGATACTGATGCCATTGCCATCGAAACTTTTCTCAAGACAGTTCCCTTCAGTGATACATTAATATAACCCCATAAATGTAATGCATTTTTGTACTTATTTTACTGTTTTTTTCGGGATCTACTAGGACAGTGATAAGATCTACCAGTCGATCGCGATCGACAGGTTGGCGACCACTGCTCTAACGTTAAGTCATAAATTAAGTGTTTTGAAAACCTAAAATAACTGTAGTTTTGTGTTTTGAAAATCTAAAACAACTTTAGTTTTGTGTGAGGAGTAGGTTTAGGTGTAGTGTTAGGGTAAGGATATAGAAAATACAATTTGTACAGCAGAAAAACCATTACGCCTATGGCATGAACCCATAACGATATGAATATTAGTGTGTGAGTGTGTGCGTGTGTGTGGTGTGTGATGTGCATGTGAGAGAGAGAGCAAAATAATATGTTCTCTAAAACTATAAACTTTCAATAGTAAAATACAATGATAAACCTATTTTGTAGCCTAATAAATGGACAGCATAACAAATGAGATCTTATAATAATAGGTATAAGAACAACTTACTTTAATGTGATAATAGGCCTTATATCCTATACATTTTATATACAGAACCATTTATCTGTTGTAGTGATTGTAAATTGTGACAATATGCTTCTTGTATTAGGCAACATGTTGAAATATACTGTTGTTTAGTGGTGTGATGTCCACCCTGTTATCCCCCTGCTGTCCACCCTGTTTCCCCCCTCTGTCCACCCTGTTACCTCAGTGTTTTTGTGATATTACTAAAATAAGTTCAACAAAAGTTATGCATATCTTTGTGGTTACTTGTAGGGAATGAAATGGTAAAATTAAATAAGTTAAAATGGTTCCAAAATTCCATGTAAATATATTTTTATTCTAAAAGAAATGTTGAAATTACACTGTGTCTCAAAAATACAACTTTTTTCAAGATAATGCCCGATTACGAACACTTTGTTAAAATACATTTGCAGAGTAAAGAGAGGGACATTTTAGCTCTTAGAAAACGTAAATATTACAATAACTGTACATTCAAAACACTTGTTAATTGAGATGAGAATGTCCTGTAACAGGGTGGACATTTGGTCCTTGCACGTCTGAGGAATTCCGTGAAAAATTATTAAAGAATAATATCCTGAGCTGGACCAATATATTTTTCTTATAGTGTAACAAGCCCTTCTTCAGATAAAATGATTACATCATGGAAATTTAAACATTTTTTTATGGAAAGTTACCAAGCTGAAATGGCTCGGTATTCGGTAATAGTAAGAATGACCCGATTATGATTAATGGAGGATTGAGTCACTATGGTCACGTTTCTGCCTACTTGTTGAATGAAATGGTGAAATGTGCTTTACCAGATATTTTGTAAACGATGCAGTGAAAATGAATGATCTTTCTGCAAAAAAAAATCACCAATAGTAGCTATAACGGTGACTTGACTATAACGCTCTTGTGTATTTTCGGTTTGCAGTCACAAAAGTAATGAAAGTGTCTGGACAAATGTATCAGAGCAAAAGTATTTGTTTTCTATACAAATTTAGTAAAGTAAAAATATAATTCAACAGAAATATTTATACTTGTGTATAGCAGAAATATAATTTTGCAGTGAATAGAGCTCTTGTAGATGAGCTCTTTTGTCTTTGTACCATTAAAACATCCTGCAAGTTTCATAGCTTAAAATGTCCTCATTATAAACAAAGCAATATCAATCTCCAAAAACGGCTAATTTGGATCTGAGGTGCAAGATGACATCACCCGGGCTCAAACATTTGCATAAATACTGCCTCCAGAGCAAGACATTGATGAATAGTCATCTTCTCACCATAGGCCCCGCCCACGGCTGACACATGACTATGTGTCAGCATTCTTTGATCTTTCAAGCTCTATCATTGTACTCAGCGGGTGTTGCATTCCTTCGGTTCAAATGACGTGAAATAAAAAGCACCTTTCCACAAAAAAAAGTGTCTCACACGGCTCCGGGGGATGAACAAAGGCCTCCTGTAGCGAATCGATGCGTTTTTGTAAGAAAAATATCCATATTCAAAACGTAATAATCACTTGAATCTAGCTTGCGCCAGCAGTTGTACACAGAAGCAGTTCCGGGAGCATGACGTATGCCTACTTGTTGAATGAAATGGTGAAATGTGCTTTACCAGATATTTTGTAAACGATGCAGTGAAAATGAATGATCTTTCTGCAAAAAAAAATCACCAATAGTAGCTATAACGGTGACTTGACTATAACGCTCTTGTGTATTTTCGGTTTGCAGTCACAAAAGTAATGAAAGTGTCTGGACAAATGTATCAGAGCAAAAGTATTTGTTTTCTATACAAATTTAGTAAAGTAAAAATATAATTCAACAGAAATATTTATACTTGTGTATAGCAGAAATATAATTTTGCAGTGAATAGAGCTCTTGTAGATGAGCTCTTTTGTCTTTGTACCATTAAAACATCCTGCAAGTTTCATAGCTTAAAATGTCCTCATTATAAACAAAGCAATATCAATCTCCAAAAACGGCTAATTTGGATCTGAGGTGCAAGATGACATCACCCGGGCTCAAACATTTGCATAAATACTGCCTCCAGAGCAAGACATTGATGAATAGTCATCTTCTCACCATAGGCCCCGCCCACGGCTGACACATGACTATGTGTCTCATCAAAAGCAAATAGAAATTACAACCACTGCTGCTATCTTGTCTACAAATATACTAGTATACAGATGCACGTTCACTTTCTGACACAGTCCACACGCCTGAGTCTGTTGTCTGGACAAATGGAATGAAAGAATGTTCGCTTAATTGTTTGACGCGATTGGTTTAAACAGCTTGTTCGCATCTTTGTACAGATATCAGAAGGATCTTATTAAAATTAAGGAAGTTAATTTTTGATGGCATCCCGGATTGTTTGGAGGATTTCATTTTGTAAACGAGGCACAGTGTCATGGAGAGTTCACAAAAAAAAAAAAAACATACTTTGGTTAAAATTTCTCAATGGTATTGTAAAACAAGACCCCTTTTACCAAAAACAGCTCTGCAAACAGCAAGCCATTTTAGTGCATGTGCCTTTAAATGCTAATGAGTTCTGCTCACCCCGCCCCTCTCTTCCAAGCCGTGGGGGAGGGGGCCTTACAGTTTACAGTTCACTCAGAGCGGGTCAATGCTGAAACGCCAGTGTTCGTCTACAGTCGTGGGAGGGGCCTGCCTGTGTGATGTCACACTGCCAAGAATCTGTGAAAGGCTTGATCTGAGACTGCTTATTATTTGCGGGGAATTAAAAAAAAACAGCACTGGGTGGATTTTTATCATTATAGGTTGGTTGTGTACACACACTGCCAACACACATTTATGTTCAAACACCATGTAAAAGTGAATTTTGCATCTGATGTCCCCTTTAAAGGATCCACCCCTTAAAACTAATAATCATTTTTCCACACATTTATTTGTTTTTTTTTTGCAAAAATCTTTATTAACATTACAAGTAAACCTCAAGAGACATATAACAAAAAATCCATGCCATGGCCCCTTTAAGACAATCGGTATATATTTTACCCTGTTCAGTCACAAAAACACATATATTTTGTGTGAACATTCAGGGTATGAAGTTTAGTCCCTCTCCCTCATAATCGAATAAGTCTCACTGCCCATGTCTAATGGACCCATCTCCACAGTTCAGAATAAATATGCTCAGAGCAGTAGGCTACAAACACACACACACACACACACACACAAACATCTGCAAACACTGCTCTCTGCTTCTCTCCTACAGCCATGCCAGTCTCTCAGCACAGGAAAAACACTCACACAGCTCTTTTTAATATGTGAGTTCACACAACATGAAGTTCATTTGGAAATCTCTGCCAGTTCATGTTTTTGTAAACTGAACAGGGCTGCGTTTCCCTAAAGCTTAAAGGGTTAGTTCAGCCAAAAATTAAAAGTAGGTTGCGTTTTACTCATCCCCGATGCATCCTAGGTGCATATGACTTTCTTCTTTCAGACGAATCTAGTCGGAGTTATATTAAAAATTGTCTTTGATCTTTCAAGCTCTATCGTTGTACTCAGCGGGTGTTGCATTCCTTCGGTTCAAAAGACGTGAAATAAAAAGCACCCTTCCGCAACAAAAAAGCTACGTATGAGGTCAGCTTTGCGCATGCGCCGCTCAGAAGTGACGCACGCGGAGAGATCGAAACAAAACAACGGTCACTAATTAGAAGTACAAAACGAGGATTTGTAAAGAAGAATGTCGGAGGATTTTGATATAAGCCAAGAGGAGACTTGTTTTCCTTTGCTAAAGTAAGGAAACTTTGCTTCTTTTGATCCTGTAAACAAACGTTGGTTTTCACGAGACGCACCGGCGCATGCGCAACGCTGACCTCATACGTCATGCTCCCGGAACTGCTTCTGTGTACAACTGTTGGCGCAAGCTAGATTCAAGTGATTATTACGTTTTGAATATGGATATTTTTCTTACAAAAACGCATCGATTCGCTACAGGAGGCCTTTGTTCACCCCCCAGAGCCGTGTGAGACA